ATGTTTTTTGATATTTTCTCTTTAAATTTTAAGTTGCAATTTGTTTAAAGTTGTGATCAAGAAAAGTGAATCAAAAAAACTAATAATTTATACATTATTTGAATGTCTTAAATCGATAAACTTTTTTGCAGTAAATTTGAAATAATTTTGCAATAAAAATCAAGTGACTTTTGCATAATAAACGATATAAAGAACATCAAACAAATTATTATTAACTATGATATTTTAAAATGATATTTTTTAAAATCTCATAAATATTTTAAAATATATTATTTATTTATATTTAAATATAAATAATTCTATGTACTCATTCTTTACCAATAATATTTTTTTCACAATAATATATACATATGTATATATTATTATAGAAAAGATAAATATTTAGGATTAAATATTTAATTTATTTTATATTTTTATTCATTCATTTTTTAATGTATTTTGATTTCAAAAAGAATATATATAACATTGATCTATATTGACCACAATGATCATGTTCAGATAATGAATGATCATGCATTTTGTATTTCTCAACATTTTTTGCTTTGGTTTCACGTGTAACATCAATACCATGAATTTACTAATCCGAAGAATGTTCCATGCATGCAATTGCGGATTGACATCATCGGAATCGCGGATAGAATAATATTCTAATATTCGAAAAAAACATTTTTTATCGATATATCATTTATATATTATAACTATTAGATTTTATCGTTTATTATTAGACGATAGATTCTAAAAAAACATTTTCAAAAGCTAATGAAGATACTTGGAACAAATTTTCGGATTAGAAATATTCATCTTTAAATTAATGGTTTGTTTCATTTATTTTTATTTGTTATCATCTGGATTGATGATATTTATGCACTTATAAAAAATTTAAAAACAGAATTTTGAATATATATATAATGTAAAAGAATATATAATATATAATTTAAATAAAATCACTATTATAATATAAATTATAATATTATTAAGTGAAACATATCTCTACTTAATTTATATAAATATTCGCAATCTTGTTATATCAAATAAAAATTTAGATTTAAATAAGAATAATAGTTTTTTTTTTTTGAGAAAGAAATATCTTTTGTCTTTTATTAAAAAATAATTCATGCTAAGATTTACATTCATGAAATAAAGATAATAAATAGAAATCGACGGATTCTATTTATTTATTGAATTTATGAATCATAAAATTGTGAAAAATTATCAAATATTCTATCATTTCTAAATATTCTATATTACAAAGATTATTAAATATTTTAAATTAAGACGAAATTCGTTTTGTATATATTATAATAATGATAAATTTTATATATATATATATATAATAAATTGGTAAAATAATAGAACTCTTTAATTATTTTAATAATCATATCATTAATTACTCTATTATTTTAAACTTTATAATAGTTTTAAATTAGCTTTTAAAATAAATAAAAATATATTATAAAAAAAGCAGGACTTACCGGTTCAATTGGACCATCTCTTTCCCTTCCTAATGATTGTCCCTCAGACCAACCCATTTTTGATAGAAGTTTAAATCCTCTGTTGTCCTTTGCGATAGAACTATAAATAAAATCATAATATAGAAATTAAATATTGCAAAAAATATAAAAAAAATTTTTAAAAATAAAAAACTTAAAAAAAGATCGAAAAAAACGAAAGTTGACTTATGTTTAATCATAGTATAATATCTAAAGGAAGAAAAAATTTATAAATTTTTTAAATTATAAATAAATTTATAATTTATATATAGTGTGTATATATATTATTAAAAATTAAATTAAGAATTTTCATATGATAATTTTTTAAATTTAAATTTTACAACAAATAAATTACTTACATGTCCATTGAACTTTGTTGTGTTTTAGCATGATGATTTAAAGAACCAACGCATTTTCTACGACTTTGCGCTCGATCTTGATATCCTGATGCTACCTGACTAGCAGTTGCAACATTATCTTTTTCTACACCAAACTTATGTTTCAGCCGCCGTAATTCTTGTTTATGTTGCTGCTTTTTAGAAGATTTATTTTCTTCTGCATTACTATTTTGTTGAACAAGTCCTGGTTCACAATGACCACAAGTTTCATTTCCATTGTGAATGTGACACAATAATTTTGTAGTTCCAACTTGCACAATTGAACCATGTGAAACTTCGTGAGGATCAGATTCTTGTTTAGCCACAGATAATCTTTTACCATTTAAAAATGTACCGTTTCTTGATCCCAAATCAGTGATTTCATATATTTTCTTATCTTCATTATATAAAAAACGGGCATGTTGCTAAAATATTAATTATTTTATGTATATTATATCACTTACATTTATACAAAAAAATTTTTTTATTTTTAACTTAAGGATGTTTAGAAATACTTACTTTACTAATATTTATATCAGGAATAACTACAGAATGATCACCTTCTCGACCAATTGAACCACCCGTATATGCAACAAGAAAAAGGCTTCCAACTTTTAATTTTGGTAAAGTGGTTTTCTTAACTATGATTCTCATACACGGTGGATAAGTTTTTGCTAAATCTGAAATAAAAGTGAATTGACAAAAAATTAATCAATATATTTCAAGTTTAATATATATTATATTATTTGCTTATTTATACTATTAATAATTATATTGTTATATTTATAATACTATATATGTATTATTAAATTATACATATATTATTAAAATATAACGAAAAACAATCATTCAATTGAAAAAAAAAAATTATTATTTTATTAGTATATTAAGTATATTATTTAGTATATTATTAGTATATTAAATAATCACTTAATATTTTATGTATTAAATAAATAAAATGTTTTTTTTTTCGTCAAATAATGTTGTAGGAAAACAAATTAAAAATAAACCTTGATCTTCTTCATGGTCACTGTCACTACTAGTACATAATTCTGGAGTAATGTCATTAGAACTGCTGTCACTATCATTGCTTGAACATTCACCCTCCTCGAGTTCATCTTCTGATTGTCCTTCTCTTTTCGCAAGTTTACGTTTTTTCCCCTCATCCTACAAGAGAGACATGTGTGCATATTAAGAGCATAGGATAATTACCTAGTGCTTGACGCCTGTATTTTTCAATTGATATGTTTGAAAGGCCATTTATTAATTCATGTATGTCATCCAAAACCTGAAAAATTAAAAATTTTTATCTGCATATGATTTTTTTTCTTTTTTATTTTTTTTTAAATTTCATTACATTCTATATAATAGTTTAAGTACCTTAATTGCCTTTCTAGTCTTTTGCTCCTTCTTGCCTTGCACACGAGCAGCTGCTTCATTCCCAGTTACTAGAGCTTGACTATGGAACTGATATGTTCCACTAGTTTCATCATAATAATAATATGTGCCTGTATTACCATCATAATATAAACCTTGTTTCTGAAACAATTTTTTTTATATAATTTTTATATAAAAATTAGCAATGGAAGTTTAATAATTATTACATAAATACTTACTGCATCATAATAATATCCACTATTATAATCATAATATAAACCAGAAGTTTCTTCATAAACAAAACCAGTTTGCAATAAAGCAGATTCAGCTGCTTCTTTAACTTGTTGTATAATATCAGTTGAAGTTTTATCATTATTAATATTCCAATCTTGTGAAAGATATGATTCTTTTTCATATTCCAAAGGATTTGTTTGAGTTCCATAATCAACTAAATTTTTTTTCTGCAATAATTTCTGACTCTCCTGAAATAAAAATATAAATTATTTCCTATAAAATAAGTATAAATTATTTCTTGTACAGAAGTAAAAATATAAAATAATATATGAATAAAAGGAAAAATTTAAAATAATAAATTTAAAAATATAATTCTTACATATTCATTAAGTTTATTTCGTAACTTGGCAATTTTTTTATTTCGTTTTTTAATATGATCACGCATTCTTTGAATAAATCTTAAAACATGAGGATAATTACATAGTTCATCTTGAAAATCCAATTCAAAATCTGATTTTATTTCCCCTTCATCACTTTCACTAGATATATTATTTTCTATCATTTTATTACTTTATCTGTAGAAACTAATAAAATAATGAAATATTTGAAATTAGTTCTTTATATAATCATGTAGAATATAATTATATACTTTATTTAATATTTGTATTTTAAACTTTCCATAAAATTTTTAACTATAATTTATTGAAAAATTTTATTCATTTTTATTTATTTTTTTTAATAAAACATATAAATAATAAACTATACAAAAATATTTTAATATTCGACAATATGTAAACAAATTAAATTTGATTTATAAAAAAAATGATTTATAAAAAAAAAATTTTATTCCAAATTATGTCAAATTCTTATTCATAAATAAAATAGAACAATATTATTATATTTTAATTATATGTATAAAAATAAAAATAATATAAAACTTATAAATTTCATACATAAATAACATCATAAACTTATAAATAAAAACTTATAAAATAAAATTTATGCATATATGTATATATATATAAAGTCATATCTGATATTTCTACTTCATATCAAGCTACGAAACTTGTTTTAATTTCTTACTATGTAAAAAATCAAAAAAAGAACTACTGAATTACGAAATCAATTAAGTATATATTGTAATAACAAATATATATTGTAATTTTTACAAATTACAATGTCTTTTTTTTTTAATTTCAATTATTTTATAACGTATATATATTTAATGAATAAATGTACCTATAACAACAAACTTACGATTCCTAATATTAGTTTGGTTATATCAACAAAAATTAATTCATAATTTCATTTATTTAAAACACTAATGTAATTCTCTACTTTTATGTCGTTTTAAATTATGTATTTCTTTCTTTATGAAGACAAATTTAAGAAATTACTTCAAAGAAAATATATCTATTAACATAAGTAAAGACAAAACTATATATATATATATAACATAAATAAGTGAAGTTTTCTACTATGACTATGATCATTCTGCCATCTGGAAACAGCTGTTTGTTAACACCCCTAAGCATCATGGCCGCTCCCAGTCCAATGGAGCCGTCGAAAATGTCATTAGTCGGTTAAAACACGATCAAATAGTGCCTAAATATTATCCATTTTCGCGTAACACATAAATATTGTATACGCGATTCAAATCTATTTTGTGTTTTTTGTGTTTGTCATTTTGAAAATGATTTTCGTGTGATTTCTTCTTAATTCGTATGCGAATGTCCCTCCTACGCTATATATCTTTTATAAACAATAACCAGTGTTTTGTTAAAACATTATTTAAAATAATACTCACATTGCATTATCAGGACATGTTACAATGATGCCGATAAAGGATAATCAGGATGTGGCATGTTTTCTGGTCACCAAACACTCATGGAAAGGAAAGTAAGTGCGTGTTTTTTAATTCCTGTTGCTTTGTCAAATGTTTTCGTATATATATGAATAATAATGAACAATTGACAATACAAATATATAATATATATAAATAGAATTTAATATTATAAATATTATAAATTTTTTATAAAAAAAAAGAATTCTAACATGTACATATTTTATATCTATGCATTTCAAAATATAACAGTAGATTAATATAAATGGATTTATGAAATAATAATATAAAAAACAATTAAATTAAAATTATTTATGCATTTATACTTTTTTATGTAATTATTAGTATTTAATAATGGAATATTAACATTATAAATGTTGAATATTAACATTATAAATTAATAAATTAATATTATGATATTAATTATCATATAGTTTTAACATAATGTATATGTTATATCTAATACTATTAACTAGTTTAGTTTATAATTGAATAATATTGAAATTAAATAATTTTTATAATTATTTTTAATATATCTTTTTTATAATTTTATTATATGAAATATAATAGAAATATATTATTTATTATATGATATTTCTATGTGATATTTCAATTTTATTATATGTATTTTTATATATTTTAAATAAATATTAATATTGTTATATAATAACTAAATAATAAATATAACTAATAATAAATATTCATTAAAAAAATTATTTTATTTTTATCTAGGTATAAGCGTATCTTCTCAATTGGATCTATGGGTATAACAACATATAATCCAACTACATTAGAAGTCACAAACAAATGGGAATATTCAGATTTTATAAGTGTACAACCAACTAACAGAAATCAATTAGGTTTGCATGAATTTAGTATAACAATGCGCAAAGAACGTAAAGTTGACAATATGAAATTTAGTTCAGAATATAGAGCACATTTATTAACTGAAGCTCTCAAATATAGAAATCAATTTGCTGAAAAACCTAAAGAAATTTTGGTGAGTTATATATTTTTTATAATGAATTATATATTATATATTTTTTAATATAATATCAAGAAATAACATTGTTAAAGTTTAATCAAATTTCTTATCAACTTAGCCATATGGTTAGTATACAATAGCCTATAATGTATTAATAGTGTTTGTTACCAGTTATCTGCATAATTAACACATATTATTTTTATAATATTATGCTATCATATATAATTTCCATTAACTATTCAATGCTTTTATCAAATATTATATATATTATATATCCAATATTCTTTGAATTAATAACTAGATAAAATCAAAAATATAATAATAAATAAATTATTATTTTATATTTTATATATTATTACATTTTATATATATATATATATATATATATAATATTATATATTTATTAAATTAATATCTTTATTGTCTCTAGAGATATCAAGCTTATAAACATCATTGGTCTGACACAAGATTGCCTGTCGTATTAGAAGTGACACCATATAGTCTTGATCAATTAGATCCAGCAACCAATATGGTATTAGCCAGTTATTGTTATAAAGATTTTGAAGGAATTCTTACAATAAAAGATTATCCTAATGGCTTTGTAATTGTTTGTGGTGGATTTGGACGTTTACATCTTTTTGCTTCTCAACATATGGAAGAAATTAAAAAAAAGCTGCTGGAATCAGCTATGAACAATTTAGGTATCAACATAAAAGTCTTGAAAGAACCAATCAAATTAGATGATTTTATTGCTCAGAGATTGGGTAAATTTAGTGGTGATGAACATATAACAAGTGTATCAGAATTTACTGTTCACAAATATTCACCTAGACATATAGATCCTCAAAGAAGAACTCTTTGTCTCTCTGATACTTGTTTATTAGAAAGAGATCCTCAGACATATAATATTTGTACTCTTAGACCTTTATCAGATATTTTCACATTGATTCGTGATAATGAAAATCCACAATTATTTACTATTCAATATCTTAATGGTCAAGTGCGCAGTTATACTGCAACAGATAGAGATTCTTTATTAGCTTCTTTATTAGATGGAGTTAGAGCATCTGGTAATAGAGATGTTCATGTCAGAATGTATGCAATACCTAGAGGGAAAAGACTTGGACCTCTTAATTTACCTGTTGATGAAGAAGTTGAAACAACTCATGTTAAGTTTCTTCAGCAACCACCAAATGGGCGTAGTTTTGCTGAAATTTTGGAAAGATTTAATGCCAACATTCCTTATAGTGGTCTTAATTACTCTGTTACACAAGATGTAAGACATATTTGATATATTTAATATTATATGTACAATTGATATATTTAACATCTTTAAAAGATCTAGAGGCTAAAACAAATACAAAAATTTTGGTTGGAATTTTATTTATTAAATTATAAGTATAAATAAAATTATGCAAAGACAGATGATAGAACGATATGATGGAAATAAAAATATTTTATTTTATCTCTTGTCTTGCTTTATCTAAATTATTAATTAATTAATTATGCTTTATCTAAATATTAATAAAAAAATTATCTTATTTAATATAATTTCAATTATACTATAACTTAATAAATACAGTTTCAACTGAAATTTTTATAGAGTTTTTGTATTTGTTTTGAACTCTAGAATCTCACAAAAGTATACAAATATATTAATATCTTGTATATAATATTAAATTTCTATATGTGCGATATTATTAAATAAATGTTATAAAATAAACATGATGCAGTGCATTAAAGCGGTGATGGCCTACTAAATTTGATTTAAATGAGACAAAATAATAAATTATAGTTGTCCATACAGACTGGAATAAATTGAATAAATATCTATATAAAGAAATTAGTTTTAATAATTTTTATTGCCTGTTTTATTCTATTATATCTATTTCTTGCGTATTATTAAATCTTCATAATGTTTACAACTAGAATTATTAAATTTAAATATAAGTTATGTTTAATAATATTAAGTTAACAAATAGATTATATAGTAAGCTGAACAGATATTTTTTTTGTCCAGGATGTTATACCGCTTGAATGGACTGTAACAACATTACAACTTCGAATTTACCATATGATGAATAACTACTTACAGGGTCTTTTTACTGAAAATAAAGATAAAATTATTCTTGGTGCTCTAAATGCATTGGTTAATAAAGATTTAGAAACGAATAGTGAAATAGAAGCACAATTTCATGCTTTAAGAAGATTGGTAGCTAGTAAAATTGGTTTTACTGCATTTACAACTCTTCTTGGATTTAGAGAAGCTATTGGACATAAGGTTGTAAAAGCTTTGAAAAGGCAAGATTATGGTGTAACACAAGCTGCTATAGATTGCATTTGTGCTCTGATGCAACCAATGCATGATGATTGTGATTTAAGACAAGAGCAATTAAATAAAAGTAGTCTCCTTAGTAGTAATAAATTTTTGGAAAATTTACTTGATATGTGGGTTAATCATATAGTAAGTATAAAAATGTTAATCTTTTGATTTTTTTAAATAATAATTATTTTTCTGTGTAATATGATAATATTATTTTTTATAAATATTTCAGAATCATGGTACAGGTGCTTTGGTAGTTTCTGCCATGCTTGATCTTTTAACTTTTGCTTTATGTGTGCCGTATAGTGAAACGACCGATGGCAAACATTTCGATAATCTTCTAGAAATGGTTGCTGCAAGAGGAAGATCTCTTTTTAAATTATTCCAACATCCATCATTAGCTATCGTTAAAGGCGCTGGATTAATAATGAGAGCGATTATCGAAGAAGGTGCACCGGAAGTTGCTGCAAAAATGCAAGAACTTGCTCTTGCTGAAGGAGCATTACCAAGACATCTATTAAATAGTCTTTTTACTATTGGTACTGATGGCAGATTATTAACACATAGACAATTGTGTAGACATCTTGTAGGACTTTGGGTTACAGGACATCCTACAGCTATGGGATTATTAAAAAGAATTATGGTAAATTAATATTATTGATTGAACTTAAAATATCATTTTCATTTAATTACAAAAATGAAAGTATCTAAGTTTGTATTCATTATATATTTATACAGCCTGTTGGTTTATTAAATTACTTAGACTCCGATGAAAAAGTACCAGATTCATTTCTTGAGAAAGAACGATTAAACAATCGCGACAATTTAAAGATAGCTATAGATCATGCATCGAAAAATAAAAAAAGTCCGCAATGGATTGCGATCGAACGGCAAATGCGTGTAGTTGAAAAACACGTAGAACATGCTCTTCAACATTGGGGTGCTAGGATTGGAATCGAGCGCAAAGAGAAAATCAAAGAACGTCCGATAGTATTAAGAAAACGTAGAGAAAGAATTAAATCGGAAGCAAATTGGAATTTGTTTTATTATAAATTCAATCAAGATCATTCACTGCCAAACTTAATTTGGAATCATAAAACACGCGAAGAATTAAGAACTGCACTCGAGAATGAAATACGCGCATTCAGTTCTGATAAAGATTTGGCAGGAGGAACTCTAATTGCTTGGAATCATAGAGAATTTGAAGTACAGTATCAGTGCCTGTCAGATGAAGTGAAAATCGGTGATTATTACTTGAGACTTTTGTTGGAAAAAGACAGCCCCGACAGTCCAATAAGAAAATCGTATGTACAATACAATTTTAAGACTTAATTGTTTTTATTTGCAGTTCAGAAAAAAGAAATTAAATTATTATTTATATTTATATTTATTTAAAATTTTTATACATATATGTTATGCATATTAAATAAGTAAATATAATAATAAATTATTATTTTTATCATAGGTATGAATTTTTTAACGATTTATATCATAGATTCATACTAACAACAAAAGTTGAAATGAAGTGCCTTTGCTTGCAAGCAATGACTATAGTATATGAGCGATACTACGAAGATATTGGTCCATTTTCAGATACAAAATATATAGTAGGAATGCTGGAACGTTGTACAGATAGAATGGAACGTGATAGATTAGTCATGTTCATAAATAAACTTATATTACATAGAAGAAATGTAAAAGATATAATGGATCAAAATGGAGTACGCACATTAGTTGATCTTTTGACTTTGGCTCATTTACATACATCTAGAGCGGTTGTACCTACACAAACTAATGTAATAGAAGCAGGACCACAACAACAACAAGTTATGGAAAAAGAATGGTATTATAATGATGGAGATCAACGTAAAGGTCCTATAAGTTTAAAAGAATTAAAGGAATTATATTTAACAAATCAGATTATATATAAAACAAAAGTTTGGGCACAAGGATTAGATGGATGGCGTATGATTTCGCAAGTACCACAATTAAAATGGACATTAGTTGCAAAAGGAACACCAGTAATAAATGAAAGTGAACTAGCAACATTGATTTTAAATATTTTAATCAAAATGTGCGAATATTTTCCAAGTAGAGATGTCGATGACGCGGTAATTAGGCCTCTACCGCGTATGAAACGGTTATTATCTGATCTTCAGTGCCTACCTCATATTGTTCAACTTTTATTAACGTTTGACCCGGTTTTAGTTGAAAAAGTAGCTACTTTATTATGTGAAATAATGCGAGATAATGCAGATGTCTCAAAAATTTATCTTACTGGAGTCTTCTACTTCATATTAATGTATACTGGTTCAAACGTTTTACCAATAGCGAGATTTTTGCAATTGACTCACACAAAACAAGCTTTTAGAAGTGATGATGTAAGTAAAGTTTTTATTTTTATTTATTATAAACAAATCATATGTCATATAACATTTTAATATCATAGAATGCATCATCAGACATCATGCAACGAAGCATTCTTGGACAACTTTTACCCGATGCAATGGTTAGCTATTTAGAAAATCATGGTGCGGAAAAATTTGCGCAAATATTTCTTGGTGATTATGATACACCAGAAGCAATATGGAATGCTGAAATGAGAAGAATGCTTATAGAAAAAATAGCGACTCATATTGCAGATTTTTCACCGAAATTAAGAAGTCATACTATGGCTAGATATCAATACATTGCTATACCTGCTATAAGATATCCACAATTAGAGAAGGAATTATTCTGTCAAATATTCTATCTGAGACATCTTTGTGATACTATAAAATTTCCACAGTGGCCTATTCCTGAACCTGTAAGTTACAAAAAATAATTATGAAATAATTTTTATGAATTTTCATATCTCAGTACATTTAATATAATAATATGAAATATTTAGGTACGTTTATTGAAAGATGTATTAGATGCATGGAAAAAAGAAGTAGAAAAAAAACCACCATTGATGACAGTAGATGAAGCTTATAAAGTTCTTCAATTAAATAGTGGAAAACAACATAATGAAGCTGAAGTGAGAAAGTCATACTATAAACTTGCACAAATGTATCATCCTGATAAAAATCCACAAGGCAGAGTAAGTTAAATTTAAATCTTATAAAATACTAACATGTTAAATTTTTCATAGAAATATTTTTTTGTTCATAGGATAAATTCGAGGCAGTTAATCAGGCATATGAATTTTTATGTAGTCGAAGTTGTTGGTCAACTGATGGTCCAAATCCTGATAACATAGTGCTTATTTTAAGAACACAGAGCATTCTTTTTCATAGATATTCCGATGAACTTAGACCATATAAGTATGCTGGTTATCCGCAATTAATCAAAACAATCAAATTAGAAACAGACGATGAACAATTATTTTCGAAGTCTGCACCATTACTGGCTGCTGCTAGCGAACTTGCATATCATACAGTACATTGTTCTGCATTGAATGCGGAAGAACTTCGTAGAGAAGGAGGATTAGATGTTTTATTAGAAGCTTATACACGATGCGTTTCTGTTTTAAATAAATCGAGTAAGTCTAATGATATAGCAGTGCAAGTGTGCATGCATATCACTAGATGTTTCTCGGTTGCTGGATCATTTAGAGGTTGCAAAGACAGAATTATTGAATTACCACAACTAGTTAAAGATCTCTGTAGAATATTACATTTTAAGGTTAGTGAAACACGCAACTTATTTTTATTTAATTAATATATTCTATCATATGTTTAATATTTTTTTAAAGAAAATTCAAATAAAATTATCAATCATAAAGAATGCATAAAATTCAAAGTTAGTTAAAATTACTAACAATTTAAAATAATAATATTGTTATGTATAATATTTTCTTATAGCATTTAACAAAATTATGTTCAGTGGCCACAGAATGTGTTTCTTCTCTTGCCTCGGACAGTGTGTTACAAATGCAATTACTACAATCTGGTGCACTATGGCATTTATTATTATTTATGTTTAATTACGATTACACATTGGAAGAAGGTGGTGTTGAACGAAATCAAGACGAAAATCGTCAGGAAGTAGCAAATAATTTAGCAAAATTAGCAGTTCGAGCGTGTGCCAGATTAGGTGGTTACATGATAGGAGAAAATGAAACACCTGTTAATCCTGTCACTGTTGCTGCACTAGAAATTTTATTAACTCCTTATTTAGCTCGTCAACTCGCAAATGATAAACCAGAAGAAATATTAAAAATCCTGAATTCAAATTGTTTAAATCCATATTTAATTTGGGATAATGGAACAAGAGCAGAATTGAATGAATACTTGGAAAATAAACGACAAGAAAGATTAAACGGCAATGATAATTTTGAACACGATTTTAGTGATTTTAAATATAGTGTTCATGCTGATGAACTTATTATTGGAGAGATATTTGTAAAAGTATATAACGAACAACCTAACTTTCCTATAGAGGTAATTTAATGTTGCATAATATTTTTTTATAAAAAATTAAATTATTAGTAATTTAAAAATTAAATAAATTTTTTGCAGAATCCCAAGAGTTTTACAATTAATTTACTTGATTTTTTATCTGATTCATCAAATTATTTAGCATCAATGAACAACATAACATTAGTTAAGAAAGATCAAGAGAAATTGGAACATATTGTTATGTCTTTAGAAGCATTAAGAAATGTGATTAAAAATAATCCAGGAATTGAATTACAATGTATAGGACATTTCAAATTATTATTTGAACTTTTAAGTTGTAATAATTTCAAGTTGATTCAAAAAAGTGCACTCGAAGTTATTAGTAATGTTACAAAGAATCAAGAATGTGTAGATGATATTGCGGCAAATGAAGTTATAGTACATTTATTATTAGCTTTAAATACTCTAAAGGAATATCAATTACTTATATTAGAAACTTTATATGCCCTAATGAGTTCTACAAAAATTGTAAAAGATGCATTATCTAAAGGTAAAAATACATTCAATTGTCAAAGATCTTACATTATATTGTTTTTTTACATTAATTTTAAAATGAATATTATGAAATTTTTAGGAGCTGTAGTATATGTTCTTGACCTATTTTGTAATTCAAGTAATACTCAAATACGTGAAGCAGCTGCAGAACTACTTGGCAAAATGTCATCTGATAAATTAGCTGGACCAAAAGTAAAATTGGATTTGTCTAAATTTTTGCCTAGATTATTTAGTGAAGCTATTAGAGATGCTCCAAAACAGTGTGTACATATGTTCGAAACAAAACATGAAAATCCTGAATTAATTTGGGATGATAATGCTAAAGCTAGAGTATCAAGGATAGTTGGAGAATTAAAAGACGAGTATGTAAATATTTCTATATATATTTATATATAACTACATCTTCTTTTTTTTTTTTTTTTCCTTTAATTAGATCTATTTATTTTAGATATTACATATTACAAAGACGAAATCCGAATGCAATATTAAAGTTACCTGATACTCAAAGTAATATTGATATCGCAACAAACGAACCTGCAGTCGGAGGTGTATATCTTAGATTATTTATATCCAGTCCTGCCTGGGCTCTTAGAAAACCTAAAGAATTTTTAAGTGAACTTATGGATACTACATTAACACTTATGTCGAAAGAAAAAACTGATGTAAGAAAAAATCAATCAAAATAAAATTAACGTTAACTTTAATGTTATTTATGAAAACATATTGACTAATTTAATAATTCTCTGCAATAGTCAGATATGTTGGAATTAACAACACAAGCAGTAGTATGTTTACTTCAAGCACAACCAAGTTTAGCAGATCAAGTTCCATCATTAGGACATATACCAAGACTTTGTCGACAAATGGCAATGCAAAATAATCAACCATCCGTATATAAAACCGCAATATTAATACTTCATCAATTAGCAGCAAGTGAAGTGAGTTCATTAATTTTTTTTTTTTTTTTACATGATACATTATTTAATATCTAATTAATATCTAATTAATATTTGATATATTAAATATTATATTTTTTAGATTTGTATATCGTCTATTTGTCAAACAGAATGTATAAGTCCATTGAAACATGCTATGCAATCTAGACGAGATATGATAGCGATTGCATGTGAAACATTAAATAGACTGTTTTCAACTAATGAAGATAGACTTATAAAACAGGTAAATAAAATTTTAGATATTATCATTGATACTAGAAATTTAATTTATCATTATTAAAATATTTTAATATATTTTTCCAATATTTTTAATCATTTTGAATAGGCATTAGATGCTGAAATGGTACCTTATTTGTTAAATATATTAGAAGGACGATTGGATATAATTGAAAATCCTGCAACTGCTAAAGCTCAAATAGTCAAAGCTTTAAAAGCAATGACTAGAAGCTTGTTGTTAGGTGAAAAAGTAAATGCAATACTGGAAAAATCAAGTGTTTGGGCAGAATACAAAGATCAACGGCATGATTTATTCATTTCTAATGCAACTAATTCTGGTTATCTTACTGGTAAGATAAACATGGTTATTATTTTAATTTTTATATTTTATAATTTTTAACATGCATAATATATTTAAATATAAATTATAACATATAGCTGGAACACCTGTATCTGCTGGCTACTTAACAGCTGGTCCCAGTACCACTTTAAGTACTGGCCCACCTCCAGTTGACAAAGAAGATAGTTTAATTAATAGAAATGATAGTATCTGATATAGGTAGCATCTTAATTAAAAATAATAATAATAATAATAGGCAATAAGAATGCCATTTCTAGAAATTCCTATCGGTAAAATGATACCGATGTAAAGACTACATTGCCTGTGATTTTTGGCTCCTTAAAATAAGGAATTTATCAATGGAATAATGTTTTTGTTGAATTTACATTTATATTAAGATTATCACAATACAATGATACTTTTTATTATGCTACATAGGCAGATTATATAATTATGTAAGATATCATTTACAGAGATGTCAATGTGTGGCAAAAGATAGTATTTAATGAAAGTCTATTACGAAACAAATTTTTCTAGGAAATGTCCCTCAAACAAAAATCCCTGTCGATTATAAAGATTTTTTTAGACAACGTTTCATTTTGTACTTAGCAAATCTTCCAACATAACTTTTCTATGTTATTATAATAAATGGACTTACATTCCTGACAAATGAAGGAATAGTATGTTCAATGTTTAGCGTTATTGCTATATCTAAGTGTGATTAGTATTCCTTGAAAAGATTTTTAATATTTAATAAATAAATACAATATTTAGTCTAACTTGAAATGTTCAGTGTCTCATGCATCAACTAAATTTTATTGTTTCAGTTATCACCATCATTGCATAAAAATGTATAATCTATATTTATTAATATATCTAATCTAATCGCATTTTTCGATATAGCAAAATGTTTTAATTTTTTTTTTTACATAAATAAATTCACGATCGCTTAATATTTGTAATATAAACAGCATCATAAATATGCTATTTTCTTTCATATCTCAAAGGGTACAAAAGCGTTGTTATATAAAAACAATTTATCATTATTTTTTCATAATCATTTCACACTTGTTTTTTTAACAAATTTTATAAGAAAACATTATAAGCGTATATTAAACGTCTTATAAACAATTAAACGTCGAATAAATCAAACAATTACAAAAAATTTTGAACACATAATATTATAAAAAATTGGACAAATATTTAAAAATACTTTTTTATTCATTATCTTGATACAATATGTGTATATTTTTTTTTTTTTTGAAATATCAAATGTATATACATATATATATAGACGTATGTATATTATACTTTGTTATATAGTTCGTTTTATGTACGCTTACGATCGAAAAAAAGCGCTAAAATTTCTCAGTGATACTAAAGAAGGATCTATTAAATGGAATAGATTCCATAGATAGAGAATTCCTCTTTTTCATATCAATTTCTAGTATTTTAATGAGAAATAATAATTCAATAAATATGGGCGGACATTCGTAGAACTTAGGAATATAAAATATGAAACAAAAGAAAAAGAAACACGCTATGCGTTGTTTTTTACTTGCCATCCAATTATAATCCATCAATATTATAATACACTTTTGCTACTTTGAATCGACGAGTTGAGTGTTTACGGCATTAAATAAATAAATAATAAAATAAACAATAAACATAAAAATATTAAGAAATATAATATAATAGTTCCTCTTGTAGCAAGAATATATATGTGCCTGACGGTCGCAATGTAAACATTTCAGAAAAGAGATAACTGAGTTCCTCTTAGACTTCAAATCTTAAATATTTCTGACATTGATACGACATTTGAACAAGATTTTTTATCTCCGTACACTTGACTCGTCAATTGATTCTTCTTTTGGAGAAGTGAAAGAAGTGAAGTGATTAGTTAGATAAAAAGCGATCAAGATAAAACGATCAAATTGAAAATCTTATCATGGTGATATATAAAAATAGAATAAAAACTAATTGGCATATTCTTGCTATGTTATGTGTAATATTGTTACTAACAATGAAGTAACTATGTAAACAAATATGAAAGAGTCTTTGTTATTTTTATGTATTTGCGCCTGAGTTCTTAAGATCGAAAATAAGATATTGTATATAAACATATATATATATATATATGTATACATATATATATATGAAAAAAGTTATACCACAGATTATTGTACGTATAATTAGAAAATAAACGATTTTGCACATGATATAATTAATAATAATCAACTATAAAGCGATAAAATTTTTTTAATTAAAATTCAATTATGTTTGTGAACATTATTTAACCAATCGACAAAAAAATTTTACTTTTTAGGTATATTTTAATATTCCTAAGCTTCGTAAATTATCATTTATTATTGGAATAGAAGAAAAAAATTTGTCTAAATTTTTGAATAAATATTAGTTAAATATTAATTAAATATTATTGTGATTATGAATCATTATTATTTATCTAATGTATATCACGAATTTCAGTAAGGAAATATGATATTATATTAACAATTTTATAATTCGTATAAATATGAATATATCAATAATCAGCTTATAATTTTATTTATTTATTTTTTTTTAATAACTATTTTAAAAAATATTTTAATTTAACATATAATTCTATATTATAACTTAAAGATCCATTTTTCCATTTTGTATGAAAACTTTTAAAATTTCAAAATTCTAAAATGTTATCTAAAGAAAACAAAATTACAAATATAAAATTTATATTTTAATGTTTTATTTAAAACAAATATATATATATATATATATATTATATAATATATATAAAATTATATGTATATTTAAAATGAAAGGAATAAAATATTAGGTTGCAAATAAAATATTCAAATTTTTAGTAGTAAAACTATTATGTTTATAATTTTATAATTTTATTGAAAATAATATTAATCAAAGTTTGACTCAACAAATGCACTTATAAAAGTATTATCTTTAGATTATAAAATCTATATCTTTAGATATAAAAGACTATTATGTTTATAATTTTATAATTTTATTGAAAATAATATTAATCAAAGTTTGATTCAACAAATGCACTTATAAAAGTATTATCTTTATCTATCTAATAATTTTGTTAAAATTATTAGAATTAATTGATTTGATTAATTTAATTGATTGTTATTGATAATATCTTTATTTATTTCTTACATTATTTGTTATAAATTTTATACCAATATAAAATTGTTTTTTCTTAATACATTTTTTAAAAAATTTTTTTCTATTAATATTAATAATTGTTGACACATTATATAAAGGATATATTCATTAATATATTAATAATTTTATGAAAAGAAATCATATAGCAAGTTTTAGAAAGTATTATAAAGAAAAGAGTTCAATCTTCAAGTTTATTGTAAATTTGATTCATATTCTTTATAAAAAAAAATATTGAATTATAAAAATTGAAAAATTATTAGCTTAAGAAATAATGGAATTAAATATTTCTTAAGTATCTTTTAAATATTTTTTAATTTTTTGCTATAAATAATTTAATAGTCTTTATAGAAAGTAATGTATTTATAATGTATACATCAATGTATCAAAAAATATAAAATTTTTATTAAAAAATAATTTAACATATATGTAATTTCTATGCGTTCATACAAAAACATAAATAATATCAGAACTTAAAATATTTTTTAAAACAGAAATAGAATATGGGATAAAATATAAGAATTAAGGCCATTCTTCGAAATGCCGCAAATGAAACTAATATAAACAAATAATAGGAGAATGATAGAGATAGAATAAGAATTGATTTTCAACGCCATCTTTGAAGAATTAAAAACATTAAAAAATTATATTTTTAAAAATAGTTAAGAGATGGTGCTAATCTTTAATTCTTATTCTATTTTATTCTATTTTTGAAAAAATGTTTTTCGTACTCAAAAGATGATGCTAACGATTAATTCTTACTTTTAACTCTATTTTTTTCTTACTATTTACTTATATTAATTTCATTTGCAATATTTTAGAGATGGTATTGATATCGTAATTTTTAGCCTATCTCTGTCGTTTCCCTATTATTTGATCTCTTTGTCTATACTTATTAATTATTCATATGAAAGAAATTTAACGTAAATATTAATAAAAAAAATAAGTAAATTTGTTTATAAATAAAAATATTAAATATGAAAATAGTTTGCGCTGCCAAAAATTGTAAATATTCTTCGAGCAATAAGGATACGACAAATATCAAATTCATTAATTTTCCAAATAGTGATATGTAAGTTATCTATTTATAAAATAAATATTATTTAAAAGTAATATTTCTACTTTATAACTAAAATATTGCATTTTTGTATAAATTATATATTATTTTCTTACAGTTCAAAAATATGGGCGCATCATTGTAATAGAACAGATCTTTTAATAAAATCTAACGAAGAATTACATTTAAATTATTATATATGTTCTCATCATATAGAGGATCATTTTTATATAAATAAAACAGATCCTGTAATATTAAATGAAAATGCTATTCCAACATTATTTGAATCATATAATGTTGCTGAAAAAGATTCAAGAAATATCTTTGAGAGAAATGAACAAACTGAAATAGCTAATAATGTTGTATTATCATATTGTGATATGGATGGTGAAATGGAACAATATCATAATATTAGTATTAAATTTTCAAATTTATGTAGAATATGTGAAGAACCATCTTTCGATGGCATCGAAATATTTTCATTGAAAGGAATGGATTTAAAATTAAAAGAAAAGATTAATTTACATTTACCAATCACAGTTAATTTGGAGGATTTAATGCCACAAAAATTATGTATAAATTGCTACAACAAATTAGAAGTTGCACATTCATTAGTTATAACATCTCTAAAAACAGATATGAAGTTGAAAAAGCTTTTAAATATAAATACAGAGGTAAACAATAACTTATTATTTAACTAAAATATATTATAATATTAATATCAATTATTTCTGTTATTTTATAGCTAAATTATGATCACAAATATGATGAAATAACAAAAAAATGTTCTTTAGAAATAGCTGAAGAAATGTGTATTAATGAAGCGACTGAAATTACACCTATAGAATTATCTTGTAATAAAGTTAGTGAAATTACCAATCAAAAAATCTCAACTAAGTTTACTCACTTAGAAAATATTAATATACATAAAAATAATTTTGTAAATGTCAGGAAAGAAGTGCAATATGAATTACATAAATTTGAAACACATAATGAAAAAAATAGAGAAAATGAATATACAATTACAACAAAAAATTATCTAAATAATGAAACATTAAATAATGAAATTCAATGCTTTTTTTGCAAGAATACATTTAAAACACAAGAAATATTTGAAAATCACAAAATATTGTGTGATAAAGGGAAAACAATAATACAAAAGGATAAAGAAACTAATAATAGTATGAACAATAAAGAATCCAGTAATATAAATCTAATAAATTTTCAATTTATAAAGACTTGTAATATTTGCCAAGAACATTTTGAAACTGAAAAAGACTTTATTGAACATAAAATATCATATTGTAAAATTCTTTCACAGAATTATCAAAATCCTAGTAAAGAAAACAAGGAATCATATAATAACTATAATGATTCTTATAATATCAAAAGTATTCCACCAATGGAAACTAATAAAAAATGTGGTCATTGTAATTTGATTTATAATACTAAAAAGGAATTATTAAATCATATTATGGAATGTCATCAAGGTCAACTTTTATTTAGATGCATCATATGTGATAGAAATTTTGAAAAGTGGTCTAGTTTAGATATACATGAAGCCACTCACAGAATAGATAAACCTTATTTATGTGATTTATGTGGAAAAAGCTTTAAACATTCTAACAATTTAAGAGGTCATAAAAGAATTCATTTAGATGATTCAAGAAAGAAACGACATATT